AAGAAAAAAAATTTTTTGGATAATTATTTAGTGTCCTAAACTGTGGGATAATTGAATTGCAACTAAGAGTGGAAAAATAAAAAGCGAAAAAAAAACTAAAAAGAAAGAGAAGAATAAAAAAAAGCGATTAAAAAGAAGTTGAATATTAAGTTTTAACAATTATTATTAAAAGCTATTGAAAAGTTTGATAGATACAATTTATTAATTTTCGCCATTCATATGTGCTTACAGTTTCATAAGGACTGAAAAATTTTCTTGGTCACCGTAACGGCCAGTTTCGCACCGATACTACAGATTTCATAGATTATTAGACAAATGTAAATTTTTAACCTTTCTATCCTTTCATCAACAACAACGACAGCAACAACAACTACAACAACAAAGGATATTGTTGTTTTGTCCTAACTATGCACTTCCTATTTTAGTTGTCTATAAGCCGTTAAATTGATACTACTTTTTGTTTTTTTTTTCTGTATTTGTATCTGTGTTTATAAAGCTGTTAATTTAGTTAAAGCAATCAGACGAAGAGATTTTTTGTTGTCAATTGACTGCTGTTCAAATGCTAACAATTATTTAATAAATCTCCGTATTCACGGCAACCAAGTTATATACAGCAAAATTATTCAGTTTAACAAAAAAAAAAATTTGTTATTAGTTTAAACTAGAGTCATTTTTGCTTGTCTCAGTTGTAAAATACTGTAATTAGTGAATAATTAGTGACAAGCGAAATTTTAGAATTTACGTCAAATATTATAATTGTTCAACAACAACACTGTTATCCTAAAAGCAGCTAAATTGAATCCAAAAGAAAGTGAAAGTTTGTTACAGCAATCGCTACTAAGCCTCTGACTGACGTTCAAACTGGTATTAGTATGTTGTCAGTAAAAGTCTTATTGAAGGTCAAAAACTAAGTAAGTTCTCCTACAACAATACTTATTTAAATGCTTTGTTCTCACTTCAAAAAAGAATTAGAACTTTTTTTTGCTGTTTATGAAACTATAAGCTTGTGCAAAAATATTTAAACTTAATTCAGCGAAAATTCTGACAAATAATTTAATATAAATCTGGAAATAAATTTGCTTTTTTTCTTTTCTGTTGCGAATAAAATAATTTTTATAAAAAAATTTTCTTTTTTGTTATTATAAACCAATTTTTTATTGGAATACTTTGCTCTGAGATTTATTAATTGAGAAGTGCTAAAATAGTTTAATCAACCAAGTTTTTCTTGTTCATTAGTACGCATTTTGCAATACTGATTTTAAATTGCACCTGATTAACAATATGCCTTTTCAGGTTGCCAAAAACAAAAAATTTTAAATTAAAAAATGGCAAAAACAAATATAAAAATTTTTATTCAAGTAAAAACTTCAAACTAACATAAGAAGATCTTTTGTGGGTTATAAACCATAAGACCAGTAATCTTTGAACAAAGTCTGCTTACTCTGAGCATATCACAAATTAAGTATTCACATAGCAAATTAAACAGTAAATTCTGAATTTTATACAGCACAACTCCGTTACAAAATTGCTAAAGTACCTTAGATATTGCTTTTATTCTTTTTGATTTGGCGTTCTAATTATTTATGACACCAGTAGCACAAAACCTTTCCCAAAAGTTTCTTTCAGCAACTGCCTCTCACTGACAAATATAATGCCAAAAATTTTGGATCTTCTACAATTTTGCTCGCTGCATACTTTCTGGAAATCTAAATCTTAATGCTCACTTTTTGCTGCTGCAAAACTGCTCATCAGAATTACCTAGTAATCAAAATTACTATATTTTACAATTCCTTCCTTGAGTCGGATTTTTTAAGCTTTTCCAAAAAGCTTTTAACGAGGGTTATTTGACACTTTTACCGTATCGATACAACTATACATAAGCAAAATAATTGAGAAGCAAAAGTTTGATTTAAAAGCGGTAAACAGACAACAGTCACTAGATCGGTGAACATTCATGAGCAATGACTGAAAACTTGAAACTTTGTAGACACCTTGAAATACCCGAACGTTAAGCAGTATCAGATTGACAATGACTCCTCCCCTCTGTTTTCAAGCGCTGAATTCACTGGGTAAAGCCCCAATTCTCAGCGGTAAAGCCATCATCACTTTGATCATTTTTGTTTTATTCAACTGCTTCACACAGTTCTCTGTCACAATTGTGGTTTAATTCCAAAGCTAATATTCTCTGCTCAACTTTTACGT